GGCATATGTCTGAAATATTTGGGGGCTGGTGACTGTGCCTCCCCAGCACCAGGCAGCTGGAGAGTAATTCGTATATCAAGCCAAGCAGCCCACAAATGACAAAACCACAACAAGGGATAAAGGTCAGAGCGATTGATTCTTAACACACTTCTACCTGCGCACGGAGCACCCGGTGACAGGGCGTTAATGAGCCCCAGCATGGTGATGCGGAACAAATGAGAAAAGTAATGAATCGACTTTGCGATAGTGCTTCTGGAAGGTACAGAACAATCCATGCACTTAGTCTAGCCCTTTGAACAATGCCAGGAGAAAGCGGCTTTCCATCCTGCGGTGGGAAGTTTTCTGTGGCTGCTGTAAGAGATGGCCACAAACTTAGTGGCTTAAAACAACACAAATTTATTCTTTTACAGTTCTAGAGATCAGAGGTCTAAAATCAGGGTGTCAGCAGTGATGTGCTCTTTCTAGAGGCTCTAGGTGGGGGAGGCATTCCTTTTTTTGTGTTTTCCAGCTGCTGGAGGCTTTCTTATTCCTTAGCTCATGACCCCATTTCTCCATCATCAATGGCAGAAACAGTGGGTGAAATATTTCTTGTATGATATTACCTCAACTTTCTCTTCCACCTTCCTCTTGTAAGGATACTTGGGATTTCATGGGGCCCATTCAGATAATCCAGGATAATCTCCCTGTCTTAAAGTCAGCGTATTAGCAACTTTAATTTTGTTTACAACCCTAACCCCCACTTGCCATGTGGCATAACATATTTACATGTTCTAGTGCTTAGAATGTGGACATCTTTGGGAAGGCCATTATTCTGCCTGCCACATGCAGAAAGGGAAATAGCATTCATGCCGGAGAAGTGAGGTTAATTGCTGACAAGTTCTACTGAAGATATCTGTGCAGAGATGAAGGAGTCCTGTTTCATAGCTGACAGATAGTGAAAACAGAGGCCATCCTCAGGAGGACAGCTACACGTGGGTTATACTATTTTCTTATATGAGTCAAATTGAAGCTACCATCTAATTCCATTCATTTCCACAAACATTTAAGATGGGCTTATTAACTATCAGATGTTGTGGTGGCTACTGGGAATTTGTAAATAAATGAATCTCTCTCCTGTATAGTTGGTGTGAGTTGTATTAAGTTCAGCTACGGATGCAACATGTATTTCTTCTCATGTAATACAGAGAGTGCTGACTAAAGGGAGACTGGGAGTCAGTCTCTGGAGAAGGACTGTCTAGGCCCATACATTAAGTCTACCACCTGCTACTCAAATTTCTTAAGCTTTCTGTAGATTTGCTTTCTCACCTGCAAAATTAGGATAATTACAACAGGAGTCTCACTGTATTGTGATAAAAAATAAATGTTGGCTAGGTGCAGTGGCTCAAGCCTGTAGTCCCAGCACCTTGGGAGGCTGAGGTGGAAGGATTCCTTGAGGCCTGGAATTCAAGACCAGCCTGGGCAATGTAGCAAGACACTGTCTCTACCAAAAAAAAAAAAAAAAGAAAAAAGAAAAAATTAGTCAGGTGCACACCTGTAGTCCTAGCTGCTTGAAAGTCTGAGGTGGGGATCACTAGAGCCCAGGAGGTCAGGGCTGCAGTGAGCTACAATCATGCCACTGTACTCCAGTCTGAGTGACAGAGCACAACCCTGTCTCAAAAACAAAAAAAGAGGTTATTAAAGAGCTTTATAGGCTAGGCCTGGTGGCTCATGCCTGTAATCCCAGCACTTTGGAAGGCTGAGGTGGGTGGAGTGCTTGAGTCCAGGAGTTGAAACCATCCTGGGAAACATGGTGAAGCCGCATCTCTACAAAAAATACAAAAATTAGCCAGGCATGTTGGCACATGCTTGTAGTCCCAGCTACCTGGGAGGCTGAGGTAGGAGGATCACTTGATCTCAGTGGGGCAGAGGGTGCAGTAAGCCTAGATTGCACCACTGCACTCCAGTCTTGGTGACAGAGCAAGGACTCTGTCACAAACAAACAACAAACAAACAAACAAAGAAACAAACGGGCTTTATAGATTGCTTAATATTAAATGAATTCTAAATAAATTAGCATTAAATAATAGCACCATCTCAACAATGTTTCTGAATGATGCTAATTTTGCTGTATATGTGTGTATGTGTAATTTGCTGGGTGTGACACACACCTTATCACTCAAGAACATTTACAGTATACAGTCTACTCCTTAAACTGTCTACTCCAATTGTCCTTCATGTAAAATGGGACTAGATCATGCATTATACAAACAAATTACAGAAAATCAATTACCCTTATGGCCAGGTTAACCTTACACTTTTGGGAATGCATGGTTCTCACTGAAGAGTCGCTAAAGCAGGCTGGTCAGGATTGGGAAGATGCAAAAATGCATGTTGCATACATGGGTATTGAGAGGTGGCCCTGGGGCATGTTCATGGAACACTGTGAAAACACAGTTGTGGAGATAGATTTTTTAGTAAACAAGTCTGACTTTTGAGAGCACATGTACTTATTCTGCTCTTGTGTCTGTCCCTCTTAAAAACAGTTTTTCTGCCAGAATCATTTGTCGAAAAGAGGCTTCTGGATACTAACTCCCTGCCTAGTGCTCTTGAGTTTTTCATTGAGGTACTCAAGACATGCCATGAAAAGCAGAACTCATAGTCCATCAGCTGCTAGAATTCAAAAGAATTGCTGCTAAGTAGCATAGCTATTCAGTGCAGCTGAATAGATAAACACATTTGACAGTCCATCTCTCTAGGGTTCATGAAAACAAGAAAAATTTTCAGCAAGAATCCTTTTTTGAAAGGGTAAACATAAAATAAAGAAAAGACATATTCATTTCCAAAATACACAATTGATAGAAGAGAAGTAGATACTGGCAGATAATTTTTCAGTAAAAACCCTTTTTTGAAAGGGTCAACATAAAATAATATGTATCAAAGAAAAGACATACATTTCCAAAATATACAAATTGATGGAAGGAAGGTAGATACTGGTGGCAGCTCACTTCACGTTGGTAGCTATAAATCACAAAATTCAAGGGTGTGACTGGAAACATAAGAACCCTGGTGTCAATGATTACAGTGGATTGTCATTTTTTAATCACTTCATTTGTTCAGAGTCTCAGAGAAATACGCAGTAAGGGTGGAAGAGATTCAATTTCAACCCTGCAATCTTTTATTTATTTATTTGTTTGTTTGTTGTTTGTTTGTTTTTGAGACAGTCTTGTTCTATCACCCAGGCTGAAGTGCACTGGTGCGATCTTGGCTCACGGCAACCTCTGCCTCCCAGGTTCAAGTGATTCCGCTGCCTCAGCCTCCTAAGTAGCTGGAATTACAGGCATGTGCCACTATACCCAGCTAATTTTTGTATTGTTGGCAGAGACAGAGTTTCACCATGTTGGCCAGGCTGGTCTCCAACTCCTGACCTCAAGTGATCTGCCCACCTGTGCCTCCCAAAGTGCTGGGATTACAGGTGTGAGCTGCTGTACACAGCCGATCCTTTAAACACTGGGAATTTGGCAAAGAACTGTGCTTTTCCAATGCTGTATCTCAGAAGGTGACTTAATTAATGGACAGACCTGAGACAACACAGCAGTGAGTCTGGTGGTGAATTCTGGGTTTGGATAAAGCTTATCTTATTCAAAAATAAGTAAGCCAGAAAAAAGAAGCCCACATGGGAGAGTTGGAATGAGAAATGCTAGGAACAGGGGAAGGGAACATCCTGCTGAAGATTCAGGGAAAAGCACTGACTGCAAAATAACTAAGCATAAGAACCAGAAGAAATTTTTTTGGTATATTGATTAGGATGTACATCAAGATTTCAATGAAACAGGAGCCCAAATCAGTAAGACTGAGAGCAAAAAAAACACATCAAGATAAATAGTAAAAATAAAGAATTTTACCTTTTTAAACCAAAGATACAAAAGGTAAAACCAAAGATACAAAACAAAATTTACTTTAAAAAAAAAAGTAAATTGAAGAATCATAGAGACAAGAAGAGGACGTCAAGCACAAAAGCCAAATTAAATCTGGATTGGAAGCAGCAAAGAGCAGAATCCACAACGCAGAAATGGGCAGGTAATGACAAAGGTAAATTGTAGCAGTTATACCAGAATGAGATAAAAATGTTGAAAGGGAAAATTATAGGTATGTAGAATACAAAACAGAGAAAGAGAGATTCAACAATAAAGTTATAGTTGGTTTGGCGGATAGGAATACTTATGAATGCTTTCTCAATAGCAAATGCTACTGCTATTGAATGGGAGTGACCTCAAGTCAGATGCCTCTTCATGGGGACCTGCATGACTCTTCCTCCATGCTTCCTGTGTGTTTACTCTAGAAGCTTCAATATCTCCTTACTGAGGAGCCTCAGGAGGTGGAAGTAAAGGGTGGGTTTTCTTGTCCCATTTGTTTTTATTTGTGCCCACATTTGGGATAGATCCCATGCTTAGGAATTTCTAGCCAGAGAGCCATAAACTTAGGCCTGAGAGGGGGAATGCGTCACATAACAGGCAGGGTTGGGGTGGGTTGCGTGGATGTAATAAATGGCAAATGTTGAGCCTTAGGTCCTAAAACCCCGAGGTCAAAGCATTAACTCCAGACATGTCCATTGCTAGTGTTCACTACAACTTACAGTAAACTGAGTCTATGCATAGTTAGGAGGCCACTCTACTCTTTTCCATTGCTGGTCCTTAGACCTGGGGAAGCAGTAACAGGGGAGATGGGCAGTGGAAGGGAATAGCTTGAACTCAAAGCTTCAGATTTATCAGTGGGGACCAGCTCCTCAGCTTGGGAATGCTCTTAACAATGTTCCAGGAAAACAAACAAACAAATAAATGGAACCATTGGAAAAGCCACAAAGCAATACACTTCAATGTATAGACTGAAAGGCTCACTTTAGGCAAGATTAATAACATGAGATCTATATTTAGCCCTATCCCAGGGAATATTTAAATTACAGTGATAGAGACTAAATTCCAGAAGTATTCAAGCAGAAACAACAACAACAACAACAGCAACAATAAAAACCCAAAACATTTTAATTGTAAAGGAATAAAAAAGTCAAACTGGGCTGGGCCTGCAATGCTAAGTGGTAGAAGCCAATGATGAGATGTCAGTGGATCATGAGCTCAGTGTTTTTTGTTTCAACTATTGTTGCTGCAAAACAAACCCAGGATGTGGTGGCTCACAGCAGCCATTTCACTACACTCACAGATTCTGAGGTCAGGAATTTGGAGATGGCACAGAGGGATGGCTTGTGTTGAAACTGGCCCAATTGTCTCATAGAACTGATATTTAAGGTTTCTTTTGAATAAACACAGAAACGGATCCTCCCAGTCTTGAAAACTGAGAAACTTACATTTGTCCTATCTGAGTTCCTTTATCAGGAAACTCAGGCCTCCCAGATAGCACTGAGGAACTGAAACTCATCAGATCACTGCATCTGGACAATGAGATGCTAGACCTCTCACCTGCCATGATTGTCTAAGCAACAACCTGCTTCCTGTTGACCAACTTCTCTTTCTTACCCCGCCCTAATTCCTGTTTTCCTGTATGTAGTTATATTTCTTCCCTGCAATATAAAACTCTAATTTTAATTAGGGAGTTGGTTTTGAGACTGATCTCTCATCTCCTCAACTGCAGCCTCTGATTAAAGCCTTCTTCTCTGGCAATTTTCATTCTCAGTGATTGGCTTTCTATGTGGGGCACAGCAGCACCTAGACCAGAACTCTGGCATTTTGTTAACAGTCTCTGTAATCTTATTTCTGGGTCCTCAGCTGGAAAGACTGAAAGGCTGGGTGTAACTCAAGGACTGGGCTTTATAAGACACAAGAATTATTGTTATTGGATTAGAATCTCATGATGGATCCAGCCAAAGGAACAATACCATCTCCTTAGCTCTACATCTTTGTGGCTTCACTCATATCCTCTCTACAAGCAGGGCTTCACAGATGAGACAGAGCATCAACCAGGGAAAATTGCCTTTGGTCTCCCAAATACCTAAGTTCTAGATTCTTCTCATATCCATAAGCACATTTTCCTTGTGTAGAATGCAACGGTGCTTCAGCCTGGATTTCAAGGCACCAGAGTCCGACCCACCCTATCTGCCTGCATCCAGACAGGCTCATGTCCTTACGAAATTCTGCTGTGCCTCTATGGACTTCCTGTCCAGGATGCATTCACTAGCATCTCGTGGCAAAACACTGATGCATAAACCACTAGGTTTAATATCTTTTCTTTTTTTCTTTTTTCTTTTTTTTCAGAATTGATGACTTGGAAAGGTTTAATATCTTTAATATCTACTACACTTCCTGATGATACCTGTCATTATGTTTGTCAGTTTGTCCTCTGACAAGATTATTTGAATCATACAGCTGTGACTTCAGTAATCATTTAGCACCATATTATTGTCTGTGTCCCATGCTTTAGTGCTGTATTTGCCATTAAACTGTAATTTACATGGAGGAGGGAGCAACAAAACCAGGGTGCAAGAATATATTTTGTCTCACTGCCTGAGAAAAAAAGCTTCTGCTGCTTCCATAATACAGCTTTGCATTTATGGTTTACATGAGATTTATATGAGAATACGATTACCACCTCTACCACCACCTTTCCTACATGTGAACAAGCCCACCATGGTTCTCTGATGGAGTGTGATTTCTATTTACTTTTTTCCTCCACTTCCAAACATGCTCGGATCGTACTGTGGTCAAACAAGCAAATGGAAGCTACCAGGTCGCTCGTGCCTCGTCAGCATTTTTAAAAGCCACATTGCGCCTCGTTTCACAATGTGAAATTTGATCACTTTTATGCAACTGTTTTATGGGGTCTGAAAAGTGCTGCGTATCCCTAAGAAGCTTTCTATATTAGTTGTTGAACAAATCTCCCTAAAAATGTGTGCTGTTCTTAATGAAAACTAGATGGCATGCCTTGGTGAGGTCAGCAAAATCACTTCAAAAGTAAGGTGCTATGTGAACATTCCTATATCCTTTCTGAGAATTCTGTCTGGAATTAAGAAGGGTTGATTTGCTGGATGTTCTGCTATCAATTTGGACTCATCTACCATACTAGCTCGTTGAGACTGTCTTCCCTTTGAATTGCTAGTGTTTCCTAATCATTCTAGGAATGACATGCATTTGTTTGCCCTCCCAATAGCACTCAGAGTCCTAGGAAGGTCCCAGCCCTGTCTGGTCTCCTAGTACCATCCCTCTTCCCAGGAATGAGCTCTCTCTCACTCTGTTTCTGAGTTCCCAGAAGTGCCAGGTGCAAACTAGGAATTCACTAAGTCTTTATTTAATTTTTTAAAAAAGAAAGATACATCAAAGAAAAAGGGAGTTTTCTTCAGGGTTGCTACTCTCCTGAAATGATCCTGACAGAACAGGCAAAAAGTTCACTTGAAAACAAAACCAGTAGCAACAATTTAAAAACCATAAGTTTTCTACTCAGAAGAAAGAACCTGAGTCTGGAGGGGACACAGGTGTGGAAGTGCCTGAGTTCAGAGACAGGTAAGAACGACTGGCCTGAGTTCCATACCTGCCTGACCTGAACCCAGGTACATCATATGCAGAGAGGAGACATTTAGACCTTATTTCTCTCTTTCTCTTTTCCTAATATGTTTTGTTTTTTGAGAGAGTTTCTTGCTTTGTCCCCCAGGCTGGAGCGCAGTAGCACGGTCACAGGTCACTGCAACCTCAACCTCCCGGGCTCAAGAAATTCTCTTGCCTCAGCCTCCCAAGTAGCAGGACTGCAGACATGCACCACCATACTCAGCTAATAAAAAAAAAACAATTTTTTTGTAGAGTCAGGTCTCCCTGTGTTTCCCAGGCTGGTCTCCAGCTCCTGAGTTTAAGTGATCTTCCTGCCTTGGACCCCCAAGTTGTTGAGATTATGTCCTGAGCCACTGCACACCTCTCCCAATACTTTTAAATGGGAGTATTGGGAAAACAAAGGGAAAGTGTTGGGAGTTCAGGGAAAACAGAGGAATTACCTTTATAAGGTAAGATGGGGCAGATTTTTCTTTATTTCCTTCTTGGCTGTTAAAGCCAATTTTATTTTCTGGTTTGCATTAAAATTGCTGCATCCTGTTCTCATCTGCAGCTGAGGGTTAAATGGACGTACTTCCAACCGAGTGCTGAAAATGTGCTCCAAGGACAGAGCCTGGCAAACCGGCCCCAGTAAGGCCTTTTCCCTAAGGACATCGCAAAAACTGAAAAGCAAGCCCAAGAATGCCTCACCATGGTTTTTGCCGCATTCTGTCGAAAGTAATAATCTATTTAAATTCAGAATATCTGACAAAATCATAAAAAAAGTATTGCACTTTGGGATTCTTCTTTACTGTTCTTTGGAGCAAGTTCTCTAGGGCTGTCACATTCAGGAAACACATGCTGGAAACAAAGCTCTTTTCCATCCTCCATCACTGGTTTCCTTCCACTGGTGTGAATTGCAAGTGATTTCCAATCTGCTGCCCTTTGACTCCCTGAGGGAATCCCTGGCTTTTTCTTTGGGAGAAGTTAACCACACGTCAGTTTCCTTGGGTGTCAAGAGCAACATAATGTCGATGTGTGGTTTCTTGAATGTCCTCTATGTCAAAGAAACGCAGAGATTTCTTCACCAATGACACAAACTAAGAAGTTCGTTTTCATTTCCAAGGGTATAACCAGTTTTTCACGTAGACACCTAGGATGCAGACCCCAACCTAATGCACCGCATTACCCCATCATAGCCCTCAGTTCATCTCAGCTTTCAGTCAACCCTCTTCCGAGAGGGATGGAACTGTTTTCACGGATTGGTTGGGAATATTTTCCACTATGCTACTTAATGCCATCTGGGTGAGCTATATCATCAGTTGGCAAATGACAAAGTGTGAACAATGACGTGTAGTTTTGAATCTAAAACCAGAGTGTGTAGTGGGGGTACCTGCTGCTTAACCAGCTTCACATTCAGAAGCCATAACTGCTGTTGTTGCTCCTCACATCATCTGTTTCTATGTGGACTACCATTTGCCTGATGTTTGCTCAGCACCTGGTAAGCAAAGAGCTTTCCAAAAAGTATAAAGGAAAATCAATATCTCTGCCCATTTAAACAGCCTCCCACCATTCAGTGACATTCGCATGAAGCTGGGGAGAAAAGCAGGAAATCAATGGATCTTAGGGACCCAGAGAAGGTATTTGGTTAATTCCTCTAAGCAATCAATGGCATTCAACTAGTTGCTAGCCTGGGTTCGAGTGGTTTAAAGAAAGGATGGTATATACCTGTGTTTGTGTCTTAAAACCTGCATCTCTCCAGCTGAGAGACAGAAACTTGTTTCTCTGGTATATGCAATTATAAAAATCTCAACATTAGCACCAAATGTAAAACACTTTGTAATGATTATATATCTAATTTTTTCAACAATCTTATAATGCGATATTATAATTGTGACAGTGTTAAAACATGTCTCTAAGTTCTTTAATATTCTTCTCATCAAGAGGTAGAACCTATGTTCCTCCCTTTGACCTGGGTGAGCATACGACTGATTTATCATGAAATAAGTGATGCTATGATGAGCAGCACAATTCAAAACTGCAAAATTATGGAACCAGGCTAAATACCCATCCATCAAGGCATGGATAAAGAAAATGAGATATATGTATATATATATGTGAGATACATATATATATATATATATATGCATGCCATGGACTACTACCCAGCCAGAAAAATGAACAAAATAATGGCATTTGCAACAACCTGGATGGAAGTGGAGACCATTATTCTAAGAAAGTAACTCAGGAATGGAACATCAAACATCGTACGTTCTCACTCATAAGTGGGAGCTAAGCTATGAGGACACAAAGGGCTAAAAATGATACTATGGACTTCGGGGACTTAGGGGGAAGGGTGGAAGGGAGGTGAGGGATAAAAGACTACATACATGTTGGGAACAGTGTACAATGCTTGGGTGATGGGTGCACCAAATCTCAGACATCACCATTAAAGAACTTATTCATGTAAACAAACACTACCTGTTCCCCCTAAACCTACTGACATAAATTAAAAAGCCCACAAGTAAACAAATAAAAACCAGACAAGGAAAAAACACACAGCCCCCCACCGCCCTCCCCCCACACCCACACAATGTGATGCTGTTTGACTTCCAAGAATACATCAGAAAAAGACATCTTGTGTTTTGACCTAGGGAAAGCCAGTCACGGTGTAAGGAAGTCTGACTACCCCGCCACCGAGACTATGGTGCTGGAGAGGCTAAGCTTTGGTCCTCTGGTTGGTCCTCAGTTGGCCTCTTAGCCTGTATCATATGATGGGACATCTTGGACATCCAGCCCTGTTGAGTCTTTAGACAAGCCCAACCCCCACTGCCACCTGACTGCAGGCATATGGCATCCCAAGTGGGAACTGCAAGCCCTTCCCAAATTCTTAAACCACAAAATAGCTGAAAACCTGTTGTTTCCTTCCCTCTCTAGGCTTGGGGGTAACTTGCTACACAGCAGTAGTAACCAAACAATTATCCACCATTCTATGAGTGAAGAAATTGAGCCTCACAAACTCTGAGTAACTTGCCCAAACTCACAGAATTTCCGAGTTGCCAGTTTTACACCAGATTTGTTGTCTCAGGCATTGAAACCAATGCCTTTGGCTGTATACGATAATGCCTTTGTAAATAGCTAGTTAATTGCAGGAAAAACCCAACACGAGTAAGAGAATTTGTAATCAGAAATGAAATATCACTATTTGATAACTTGTGTGAAGATCCAGTTGGTGGCAAATCTTCATCCCCGGCCCATACAATAGATGTGTGAGTGAGACGTACTGGTCTCATGGTTCCAGGTCCTCCACTTCTCTCAGAGCAGGAACATTTTATTCCAGGTGTTGTTCTCCACCCACCATGGCCTCTTCCTATTGGCCCTCACCAGCTTCAACTTTGCCACCAGTTTCTCTGCCCCGAAGTCAGCCATCACCTTTTTTTGGAGCAAAGAACATTCATTGGCCATCCATGGCCCTGGACCCATTGCCCCTGATAGGCGTCTGGTCTGATCACTGTCACCATACTGGGAGAGAAGCACTGTTAACTGCACTTTGTGGATGCAGAGAATACGACTTGTGGGCATTACGTGACATACCCAAGTTAATTGGCAAATTTAAACTCACTGTTTTCTGTCTGTCATTGTACCATGCTCATTTCCAGTGTCCTCAAGTTACCACATATTTGAAAAATAAACTACAATTCAGTGTGCCTGTGGTACCTGGCAATTTCTCATTCCAGTGACTCTGATGACTCTAGTGAGAGACGTTATTCCTACATAAAAAGGTGCCTGGCTCCCTCCAGGCAAAATTGTTTCCTATGTAAAGACCTTCTCTGGAAATCAGAGTGCCCACACCACTGCTCTTTCAGATCCCCAGCCTGGAGAGTATCCTGGCAGAAAGGATTCCAGGCACAAGTGATTTGAGCTAGTAACACCAACAAGTTGTGTCACTTGGGTAAGTTACTTAGCCTTTCTGGGGCCTCTGTTTCTTCAGGTGTGACATGAGAGAATGGACCAGATGAATTTAACGTGCTGTGAACATCCTGTGACTACACAACTATCTAGATTTGAAGACGTAAACATAGGTGGTGACTTAGAAAGAAGAAATGTATGGAAATCATAGCAAGAGTGAAGACTTACTGAATAACTTCCGTGTGTTAGCATGGTTGAGGCATAATTTGAACCCTTGCTGTTTGAAGTCATAAATACATGAAGTGGCCCCAGAGGCTGCTCTCTTAAACTACTTCTTAGTACTGACAAATGAGCAATAATATCCCAGGACAGACACTAATGTCAGAGAAACTCAGAAGGAAGGGGGACATTTCCAGCCATGAAGATCATCAGGTTGGGAGGTGCCAAGAAGCTCATGCTCCCTTGCTGCTCCATGCCTGATGATCACCGTAGATCCATAAGCATTTCCATATATGTGTCTTGTTTCCTTTGGAGGGAGGAAAGTTACGCTCCAAAACAGGATAGAACACAAAGCATGAGATTCCGCCAAGTCAGTTGCACACATCTGGAGCACAAGTCATGGTGGCTCTGCTTGCTTCTCCTTTGTAAATTTTTAATTTGGAAATAGTACAAAAATTGGGAAAAGAGTATTTAGAATTCCTACATACTCTTCATTTAGATTTTCTAAATATAACATTTGACCATATTTGCTTTATCATTCTTTTCCCACACATATACATATGACACATGCAAAATCATTTTTTCTGAACTGTTTGAAAGTAAGTTGCAAACGGTATGTTCCCTGAAGTTAAAAAACTTCAGTATGTGTTTCCTAGAAACAGTCACTTTCTCTTACATAACCACAGTTCATTTGTGAGCATTGGGAAATTAACATTGAAACGATACTGTTATCTAATCTATATCTTATTCAAATTTGATCAATTGACCCATTAACGATCTTTATGTTCCCCACCAAGAAACAATCCAGGATTCAATCCAGGGTGACTTTCGTGCTTTTCAACCAAAGCCCACAATAGTGTAGGATTCTCTTGGTAGGACAGGCACTTCAAAGACTATATTGCATATATAGTAAAATAAAGGCAGGGTACATACAGTCAAGATTGTGAATGCTACAGTGGAAAACCATCAGCTTTCTAAAGGGTCAGCAATGGTAAATTCTATGTACAGTTCATTTCTCTGCATCCTATTAGAGCAGTGGTGTTCAAATTTAAAAGTAGCATCAGAGGCCAGGTGCGGTGGCTCACGCCTGTAATCCCAGCACTTTGGGAGGCCGAGGCGGGTGGATCACGAGGTCAAGATTTCAGACCATCCTGGTCAACATGGTGAAACCCCGTCTCTGCTAAAAATACAAAAAATTAGCTGGGCACAGTGGTGTGTGCCTGTAATCCCAGCTACTCGGGAGGCTGAGGCAGGAGAATTGCCTGAACCCAGGAGGCGGAGGTTGCGGTGAGCCGAGATCACGCCACTGCACTCCAGCCTGGGTAACAAGAGCGAAACTCCGTCTCAAAAAAAAAAAAAAAAAGTAGCATCAGAGTCCTCTTAAAAGCTTATTAAAACAAAAATTGCTGGGCCCCACTCTGAGTCTGTGATTCAGTATGTCTGGAGTGGGGTCTTAGAAAATCCTAACCAATTCCCAAGTGACACTGGTGCTGCTGGTTCAGGGGACACAATTCGAGAACTGTTGCCCTACAGAAACCTGTGCCTGATGGCACCCCGCCCAGATTTCAGGTGACGGCTTCATCAGTGACCTCTTCCTTATCAAATCCAGTGCCCTATTTTCAATTTCACTTGGCTGTTTGACAGAGGTGGCTATGGGGCATTTCTCTACTTGTCAGAATCCTCCCATTTCCTTTGAGAGACTCCAACTCCCATTCAGGAGGACTGAGAAAATAATATTTGTGTGTGAGGTCTGTTGAGTGTGAAATAGACAAGCAAGATGTTATTTGTATTAATCAGAAGTACACTTGAACCCAGCCCATGAGCTTAAAGTCATCCCAAGCTAAGTCCACCCTAGATCAGCTGAACTTCAACCAAATCATGTAGTAGATATTAATGAGAAGTAACTGTCTAATGTGAACACCTGCAAATTTAGTTTGTTCTGAAGACAGCATTGATGCACAGTTTTATAGGACTCTTGTGAAATTAAGTTAACAAATGTAAAGGGTTCAGAACAGTGCTTAGCATGTGATGAAAGGGTTTTGATGATAGAAGAGCCTCTGATGATTTCTGATATCCATCTTACTTATAGTTCCTAGCATCCAAGACCTGAGTCAGCCTACAGGTTTGATATTGACCCAATTACTTTACTTTTCTGAGTCTTAGTTACCACTTATCAAAAAAGTTTGCACACTTCTGCCAATCTCAGAGGTTTTTTTTTTTATCACATGAGATAATGGGCATAAAAATACTTTGAGGTTTATGAACAACCATTGCAAAAGTAGAGATCATTTAGTGTCCCAAGATCTGTTTTTCTGGTGGTCAGTCACAGACTGGGTGTTTGAATTTTTATAAATACCAGAGCTTATCCTGGAAAGGGACTTACAGTGCGTTTTCAAATTTGTCATACAATTCAACTTGAGATTCTTTAATTATACTTTAAATTTTCATGAAGTATTCTTTACTTGTCAATTAGATTGCAGCTAAGAATGGAAAAAGCAGTGAGTTTGCAGATGGAAGACCTGGGTTTAAGGGATGGTTCGTGACTCAGGGTCTTCTTGGCTGTGACCTCAGAAGGTAGTTAACTTTCGGTAAAATGAAGGTGATATTCATGAAAGTGTAAACTGTACAGGGTTATTTGCAGCCCAACGTGCTGCAGATGTGCTGAAACGTTCTTTTACATGTTTTACATATGTTTTGGAGGAACTGTGATTGGCACGGCCCACAGGAAGTGTGTTGGAAGGGTCCATCCAACTCTGAGGCAGGCATGCTGTTTGAGTCAGGAATGCTACTTTTAGATCTATCCATGTCAGTTCTTTGGGTGCCTACCTTTCAACCATTTTCAATCGCTTTCTCCTATTGCTGCTTCTCACTGTGGATGCTAAAATAGCCAGATACCCACCTTCTGACCTGGGAAGGGCATGTGATCTGTTCTGAGCAAGAGCTATAAAGGGGGCATCTGACAAAGATTGTTACCCCTTCATGAATGATGAAAGAGCTCTTTCTCAGCTATGCTTCTGCTTCCTGTCTTCAGAGGCTGGAGTAGGAAGATACGCTCTTGGGACCTGAAGCAACCACCTTACAACCACAGGGGATGGTTGAGACAATTGCAGATAGCAATCTGGGACCTGGATTGTTAGCTGCTGGTCCAGCCTCAGACGTGGCCATCTGTAGACTTCCTGTTACATAGGCTGATGGACGTGGCCATCTGTAGACTTCCTGTTACATAGGCTGATGGACGTGGCCATCTGTAGACTTCCTGTTACATAGGCTGATGGACGTGGCCATCTGTAGACTTCCTGTTACATAGGCTGATGGACGTGGCCATCTGTAGACTTCCTGTTACATAGGCTGATGGACGTGGCCATCTGTAGACTTCCTGTTACATAGGCTGATGGACGTGGCCATCTGTAGACTTCCTGTTACATAGGCTGATGGACGTGGCCATCTGTAGACTTCCTGTTACATAGGCTGATGGACGTGGCCATCTGTAGACTTCCTGTTACATAGGCTGGTGGACGTGGCCATCTGTAGACTTCCTGTTACATAGGCTGATGGACGTGGCCATCTGTAGACTTCCTGTTACATAGGCTGATGGATGTGGCCATCTGTAGACTTCCTGTTACATAGGCTGATGGAAGCCTTTATTATTTGTCATTGTTACTTCTGTTCTTGGCAGCAAAGTGATTCTTTTTTTAAAAAAATTTATTTAATTATTTATTTTTGAGACAACGTCTCACTCTGTTGCCCAGGCTAGAGTGCAGTGGCGCGATCTTGGCTCACTGCAACCTCCACATCTCAAGTTCAAATGATTCTCAAGCTTCAGCCTCCCGAGTAGTTGGGATTACAGGCACACGCCACCACGCCTGGCTAATTTTTGTATTTTTAGTAGAGACAAGGTTTCACCATGTTGGTCAGGCTGGTTCTGAACTCCTGACCGCATGATCTGCCCAACTTGGCATCTCAAAGTGCTGGAATTACAGGCATGAGCCATGGCACCTGGTGAAGAATACTTAGCTGATGTACTATCTCACAGTCTCTCTCTCTCATATAGAAAGGAAGGTCTGCAGCTGTATTGTCTCACAGGTAGTCATGGCCCTGTGTGGCTACTGAGCACTTGAAATGCGGTGATCTGAGTTGATTTGTACTCTAAGTATAAAACACACACTGGTGTTTGAAGACAGCGCAAAAAAATGCAAAATATCTCATTTATAATTTTATATTGATTACATGTTGAAATAATATTTTGGATATACTATATTACATAATATATTATTAAGTTCTCTCATTTCCTTTACTTTTATTATAAAAATATGGCTAATTAATATGCACACAGTTGTGGCTCACATTACATTTCTATTAACCAGTACTGTTATAAAAAGACAGATATCAAACCAACGATAATAATGATCACCTATGGGGTGTGGAGATGAAAGAGGTGCTTGCTAGAGAGGGAGATTTATTTTTTTTATTTTAAGTTGTTTATTGTAAGATAATTTATAAATATCTTGCTGTCTTCGGTAATTCAAACAATGGAGGAACAGTTTCTTCCGACAAAGACAACAGTAAGCTAAAAACAAAATCAGCTGGCTGAATTTTCCTTCTTTACTCTTGTCTGAGGATGGAACTTGATTTTCATTAATCCAGAGCTGCAGCACCAGAGATGATTTCAATCAACTCCTTTGTGATGACAGCTTGGAGGGAACGGTTGAATGTCAATGTCCATCTGTCAATCATCTCAGAAGCATTCTTGCCGGCGTTGTCCATGGCTGTCATCCTGGCGCTCTGCTCACTGGTGGACTCCTTCAGAGAGTAGTAGATGATGTTGGCCAGACTGTATTCTTGGTAATTGTGCAGCACATCAGCATCAATATCATCGTAGATACTCATGCTCTCAGCACTTGCAACGGTATTAAGGGAAAAGATGGGCTTTTCCTCTGTCTTATAGGAGAAAACAGACCTGAATCCATTAAAGATGGAGCCTTCATCAAATTCATATCCAGAATTTAGTAATTTAAGGGCAATGACTGACACATCTCCACAAGTAGGGGGCTTTCTTCCTACTTCTTTAAATGCCGCTAGAAACTGGTCAGAATGAGCCCTATAAAGTATGTCTCTGATTTTGTCACCAATTCCAACAGGCATAACTTCCTTCCCAGCTGCTGTTAGTGTAGCAACCTCGCTTTTCATCTGTTTAGCAATGGAGGAGTGAAGAGCATCACACAGTCCTTGATCTGAGGACACACCAATAAGGTGTTTCTTCTTGTCTTCAAGCGTCTTGATATCAGCTTTTTCACACAGAGCCAAAGATCCCAATCCGTGTATTCGAGCTGGTTTCAGCTCTCTCTCAGCTCAGGCATATTTTGCTGCTGCTACCATTTTCATAGACCCGGTAATTTTCTGGATGTTTTTGATGGACTTTAGTCACCTGGTAATATCTTTCAAAGTTGCCATATTTCGAACTTGAATCCATTGCAGCTGCAAGGTCCAGGACGACAGCCCAGAGATGCCGGCGCCGGAGAACATGGTAGCCTCAGCTCTGCTGAAGGTTGGTCACTCAGGCCTCAGCCAGAGGGAGATTTCTCTTTTTCCTTCATATACTCTTTCAATTTTCCACACCTATCATCTATTTGTATAACAGATTACCTTCTGTGAGTTTCAGGAATATAGGACAAGATAAAAACAAATGAGTTAATGCGTGTAAACATGCTTTGCTTTGCTGTTGAAAAAAATTTTTCATTTTGTGTAACAATCCTGCCTATGTAATTTGTCAGTTGTTAAAGATATGCACGTGTTAGCTGAAAGAGTGAAATATTTTACTTGGTAACCGTCTATTTTGCAATATTATGCATACTTCAATATGTGTAATAAGTATTTCAATTTAAACATTCGACAAAGCATGTGGAGAATCACTCACATAGGGTTTGCTGGTAATGAAACGGTGTGTCTGTTTTTAACAGTAGAACTCTATATAAAATGATCTTGCTTCTAAATAATTGGGGACATTTTTATAAGCTCAAAAATTAAATATGACTTGTAAGGAAATTAAGATGTTTGGGGTTAGCCCATATGTAACTAGCAATAATTCTGATAACCCTCTTTTTAGTGGTAGAACACAGCAATTTGTAAAACAGCCCAGACTTATCCAGTCTCTGCCTTTTTTGTGATGCACTAGTAGGTTTATTTTTCTCCAAAAACCCTCGAGTCATTAAATTTTGGATTTAACATTGATTTACTCCTTTTGAAGGTTTGCCAAATACAAAGATAAATTACTAAGCCTAACTGATTAAGGGAGAATAATGGTTTGCTTTTAGTCAACACTGTGTTTAGTATTTTAATTATTATTATTATTAATTAAAAAGCCAGTGTGCCATTTCCAACCTGCTAATGGAGCTGGAGAAGAAAATAGCAAACATGTTCTGGAAACCAAAGAACTCTAATTGATCAGGCCAGGCTGCAGGGAGGGAGGAGCACCCACAGGATGTCTTAGCTCTGCTGTTTGCTGTGTTCTGGCAAAGTTTAGATACTAATTGACATTTAGTTGAATGCACTGGAGTCCTTGAGTGTAATCTCAGGACTGTTGACAACTCCCATGCAGAAATCCAAGTGATTTTGCTTCAGTTTCATCATTTAACTCACAGCTCAGCCACAAGTTGGTAGTGCGTTATTAGCCAAGTCAGTTTCTCTTCTGGACCTCATCTTCTAGGTGAGTAAAATAGGGCATTAGGTTGGAAAATAATCTCGAAAATCTTTTTCAGCTTTGAACTTGCCTCCTTCTCTCCTCTTCCGTTTACCATAAATAGCACCCTTTCTCTCCAAACATTCAGTGCATCAGGAAAGCCAATGTTTCAAGCTGCAAGTAGTTATCTGCATTACAAATATCCCCACTGATACTATATATTAAATCGTCTATGTATTTTAATATATATAAAATTGTACATAATTCTATAATTATATGTAATCCTACAATATGTAAAATTATGTATAATTTTATAATATGTAATTGTATAATTATGTAATATATGTTGGATAATATTTATATATTACATATAAAATATGTAACATATATATAAAATACACACCCATACATCAGAAGGAAACTCCATTGTGGAAAATGTACACATAGAATTCCCAAATCCCAAAAACTTTTCTGGGAGAAGTCAGAGAAAAAAAAATATATTTCCAAATCTGTAATGACACTTAAATGCAAAAATGCTTTGTAACTACTGTTTGGAAATTTCGCTTTGGTGAATGCATGATGAGCCTGCTTCCTTTTATGCCCTTTGTTCATTTTCCTACCATCCATAAACTGGAACTCTTTAAAGGCGGAAGTGAGAAATCTTTGCAAGCATTCATTTCATTTCAGTAGGATTGTTCTAGGTGCAGAGGCAGGCTCAGGATTCAACAAACACAGCCACTTAGCAAATTTCTTCTCAACATGGGCATCGCGTGCGTGTATGAAAGCATGATTTACTTGGAATTTTTGAGGCAGCAGTAAATAAATTTGGAAGCATTAAATTGTGTATTAGAAAAACATGACTGAGCATTTAAAGCTTTTTCTCAGTGAAATTAACGATATGTTTGCTGGCAATCTCTTTCCCATGCATTAATATGGAAAAAATGATTTCCCAAAAAATGGTAACAGAAACCAGCAAATACCTTAATTTGTTGTATTATCCTGGCCAATTTAAAATTCGAGGAAGCAGAAATGGCACTGGCGGAGACACAGCGGTAGCAGCTGCTCCACGACTCGGTGGAGCGCGGTCTCTGGGAGGGAGCGCCGCGTTGCCATGGCAGCGAGCCGGTCCCGGAGCCGCTCTGCCCCAGGGAGGAGAGGGGAAGGGCGGAGAGAATCTTCCTTCGTTGGCATTTACGGGGTGGGGGTGGAAGCGGGGCACACGATCCAGCATTTTTCTAAATCTTTGGGGGATACAGTATGTATTCATGTTGGCCCCTGCCTTCAGGAGACTTACAGTTAGGCTGGGCGCCCTCGCAAAACGCATCTGCTTCTGTCCTGTGTCCTGAGGACTCAGGGGTGAGCCAAAGCTGACACAGCCCCGACCCACAGGGAGTTGCCTTCTTGGGAGAGATGTGAATGACACCGTAATTACAAGGGAGATGCATTTCTCAAAGGAAAGCTGATGTGCATGCATTTGTAGGGGATCTGACCTGTTTGTGGTTTCATGACACCTTCCTTGAAGAAGGCTGAATCTGTGAAGGCTGCAGCAGTTAAAGGGGCTTTCTTTGAAGGAATTAGATTTTGAAAAATAAACGATGCTGTTGTAGCTGTGGACTTTTAAGTTAGCCTATTTACACTGTGTTACTGCAAAATTAATAGGAGTTTGGAGTTGGGTCTAAAATTCATCCAGTCTTTTTATAGAGATGAAACAGAGGAACGGGAGGGATGAGAAGACCACAGATATGCTGAGAGGAGTAAGGTCACAGTGAAATGAGGCTGGAAGGATCCCAAAGGGAGGCCGCATAGGGACTGAGGGTAGGCGGCTGGGCTCCCAGGACTGGAGATTCTGACAGGAACCTTTTTTATGCACCTCCAATCCCTCTCTGAGCACATGACTCAGGTGGGTACAAATAAATCCTTCATCTCGGAGTCCCAGAAAAGGGCTTTTTCTTCCCTAGAAAACAAATCTATCATGTGTACGGTTGTAATAAGGTTAAGAACTTGATGAGGTTAGACAAGCAACAGTTCTTGCTGTCATAAACCACATTCCATCTGACTGCTGTGTTTGTTAAAACAATTTTTAAATTTTGGAATAGTTTTAGATTTATAGAAAAGTTGAAAGTATATTCCTTACCCAATTTCTCCTTTTATTAATATATAGTACGTTTCTCACAACTGATGACCCGCTGTTGACATATTATTATTAAAGCCCATATGTTATTCAGATTTAGTTAGTTTTTAGCTAATGTCTTATTTCTGACCTAGCATCTCATCTAGGATTCTGTGTTACTTTGATTCATCATATTTCCTTAGGTTCTTCTTGGATGTGACAATTTTCAGACTTTTCTTGCTTTTGATGACTTTGACTGTTTTGAGGAGTACTGTCTCTGACAGCTTTTCAAAGGCATATACACCTACATGCTGATGGAAGACTTGATTGCCATTTGGCCATTTGCTTTTCTAAATGCTTCTTATCATTTACCCAACCTCTAATCTTGAGGTAGATTGCTTGTTGGCTTTGATTTTTCATCCCTCGCTGTGCCCATTGTGGATGGAGATACTAACCTCTCTTGACTTTGGACTTGATTATGTTGAGTTGTGTTGGCCAGTGGCACAGGGGCAGAAGTGACAGTGGGCACCCATGACTAAGCCTAGAATTAAGAGGACTCCTGTGATTCCACTTGACCTCTTTTGCTTCTGTCATTGCAGTGAGAGGAATATGCATGAGCTAGGCCACTGGTGGCCTGAGAAGAACATACCTGGGCTAGCCCACTGGTGGCTTGAGAAGGACATGCCTGGGCTAGCTCACTGGTGGCTTGAGAAGGACATACATGGGGTAGCCCACTGGTGGCTTGAGAAGAACATGCCTGGGCTAGGCCACTGGTGGCTTGAGAAGAACATGTCTGGGCTAGCCCACTGGTGGCTTGAGAAGGACATGCCTGGGCTAGCTCACTGGTGGCTTGAGAAGGACATACCTGGGCTAGCCCACTGGTGGCTTGAGAAGAACATGCCTGGGTTAGCCCACTGGTGGTTTGAGAAGAACATGCCTGGGCTAGCCCACTGGTGGTTTGAGAAGAACATGTCTGGGATAGCCCACAATTATTTGAGAAAGATGAGAAGCACATGGAGCACAGCCACTTTCTGCTGAGCCTCATCTAGATCAGTTCACCCCAGTCTGCCTCTAGATGAATGGACAATAACCAGTTATCATTGTTTTTAGTCTCTGAGTTTTGGAGGCACTTGTGACACTTGTTATGTAGCAATAGTTAATTGAGATATCATCTACCATTGAATAGATGGAAGGCTTTATAAAAACTTTAAAAAATATTTGATATTAAAAAATATTTCTTTGGAAACATGTAATCAAGGTGACCACATGCCACATTGGGTTATTTTAGTGTCTGTCATGAAAGAACATCTTTCTCATTGAAAATGTGAGCTGCCTCATCTCTGAGCCAAAAGGACAATGTCTTTTGCTGTTTACAAACTATGTAGTGATTTCTGAAAAATCAAAATTAAGCAGCTTATAAATGTTTTCATTCACTTATTCATCTCTTCAACAGCTATTAATCTAGTACCTAATATGTGCTGGGTATTCTGCTTGGTGCTGAGCACGTAGGGTGAGTAAAAGTGGACATAGCTTGGACCCAAAGGGAACTGACTTCTTGGGAGGGATGTGAATGACACTGCAATTACAAGGGAGATGAATTTCTCAATGGAAAGCTGTTGTGCATGCATTTGCGGAGGATCTGACCTGTTTGTGGTCTCAGGAAATCTTCTTTGATGAAGGGTGACCTGAATTCCGCAGCCAAGAGTTGACTGGGCAGAAGAGGGGGGACTTCTATGCAAAGAGGAGAGCACACTGTGCAGCAGGGAGAAGCATGGTGGCCTTGTGACCTGCACAAAGCCTGGTAAAGCTGGACATCAGGATGAGGATGTGAGGGGAGGGGCCTGTGAGGCAGGAGGGGGTCTGTCTTCTGGCAGCCCAATATTTTAGCACCCTGATTATTTGGGACATCCCCATTTCCTTCTGCAGACACTGAAGCAGAGGAATAAACCCTTCTCCATGCACTGTGGGAGCGTGCTTTTTAAGCGTGTTGGGCCCAGACATGTTCTTCTCAAGCCTTCAGTGGGCTATCCCAAGCATGTTCTTCTCAAGCCACCATTGAGTTAGCCCAGGTATGCTCTTCTCAGGCCTCCAGTGGCCTAGCTCATGCATATTCCTCTCACTGCAATGACAGAAGCAAAAGAGGTCAAGTGGAACCACAGGAGTCCACTTAAGGGCTAGGCTTAGTCATGGGTGCTCATTGTCACTTTTGCCCCTGTGCCACTGTAACTTGGGAGGGGCAATAAGGTACATGCTGATTAGAGACTCCCACAGGGGCTACTGGTAGCTAAGCATTCAGCAGTAGGGGGAGTATCTGGGTGGTGGAATCTGGCAGCAGGAAGAGGGTGATGAGGACCAAGGCAGTTTGGGGTCTGCAGGGGTGTCCTAAGTTGATGGTTCTTATGGCAGCGCCTTGGTTACTCATCTCTAAATGAGGCTGGTTCCCATCTTCCCAAGCTGATTCTGTAAGAGATGTCCTTCTAATAAATTCATTTTTTGCATTAGTCACCCAGATTCTACTTCTGTTGTTAAACCGAAGAACCCTGATAAGAATAGACAGATAGATGCCAGATCATGCCAGCTCTTCCAGGTCACGTTAAAGAATGTGGCTTCTTGCCTAAGAGATCTAAAGGTCCATACAGAGGTATTGGAGAGGGGAGGTGACTCATTTTGGAGCCAGCAGTTGTAGCCTGGTGTCATTTGAGTTTCTCCAGAAGAAGACCCTAAGATAAGAACTTGAGTATCGTTTATCTAGGAGGTGATCCCAAAAAGCACTGACGGGAGAAAAGGCAGCCAATACAAGGTGTGTTATCAGGCCAGTTACTACTGTGCATAAGTAGGGGTCAATCCCATTGGGAAATTCTGGGAACAGAACATGTCTCGGAGTCATTCCATGTGAGGGAGGAGGGAACTGGACTTTTTATCCACCAACTCCCATCAATCATTTGTCGAGGGCTTCTCTGGTAGGGAGCATTCCCTACACAGAACTTCCAATCTGCCCTGAACAAGGGCCAAGTGGGAACTGCCTCAGGTGAAGGTTGCAAGTATTGGCAGCTGGAAATCACAGAATCTCTGTGCCCAGAAATAGTCAGGCCTGAGGAGAGTGGGTGGGACACAAGAGTGTCA